TTTTAAGCCACCAGGTCTGGGATGCGAACCGCGGTCGACTACATCGGAATCCAGCAACATAGCCATTATGCTAACTGCTGGTCCCTGATCCAGCCATTGTGGACAGCCTCAATCACTTACAGTCTTACAAAAATTCTTTATATAATTATTCCTACATCACAGAGGGCAATATAATTTTAGAACAGTTAAATAATTGTCCAGGATGACACCGCTATCAGTTGATAGTGCCTGCAATCACATATTTGTGGGGCTTATCTAAATAATGAGCTATCTATTGTAAGCAGTTCTAGAGTAGAAGATTCCTTAACTTGACTAATCTTTGTCTGGTAAAGAAGCTTTGCCCTGGTCTCCTTTCCCAGCACACATACGAAAGTAATTATTTAGGCTTATTTAGCCACATGGTGTCAAGCAAGACCATGAGTTCCTCCTAGTAGACAGTTTATAACAAATACTATGAGGAAAAATTGTGATGTTGTGTCAATCTACCAGAACGCTTGGGATTACTATTGGTGAGATCCATCTTACTCTGTTGATGGTGGGATAGAAGCAACTGTTTATTAATCCACCTACATTTTTTATTCCATAGGTTCTAATAAACTATAATTAATGACGAAGAATTTTTAAAACAAGATCTATACCTGCTTGTAAAATTTTAGTGACTTTAATTTTGCATTCCAGTACCAAAAGAGACATTCTTTTTTACCTACTGGGAAGATATTTAAGCTTTACAATTGAGTCCTAGGTTTCCTTTCCTCTTTATCAGGGAGAAAAACATTAGCTATTTAGAATTATAAAGTTTAATTTTCCCTAAAGCAAAAGTAATAAAAATAAATGGCATAATGAGAGTGTTATTAGAGGTGATGGACTGTATTGGGTCATCAGAAAACTGACCTTTACTGTATGTCTACTCTGATGCAGACATTGTTTTGTTTTGGAGAAGTTTTCGCTATAGGGCGCGTGTGCTCGCCAGAAAGACAGAGAGAGACAGAGAGACAGAAAGCGAGAAATCACCCCCCCCCGGGGGGGGGGGGGTGTGGGCACGCCGCAATCCCTTCTCCTCCATTCTCCTCTCGGGATCTTGGGCAATCCAATATTACAAACAATCCAATATTACAAACACTAGCTAGTATTTATAGGTTTTGCAATTTTTAGTCAAATTAGGCTGAAGTATTAAAATGAGATTTGTGGATAAAATATGTAGAACAGGGTGGATGTATCCAAGACTCCCCTCCAGAAGCTGACGAGCACTTTGCTCTCTGTCTAATACTTACAAGGCGAGAAGGTTCCACAACATGGTGGAACCACTTTCTTTCTTTGTCAACAAAGACACCATATCAATGGGCAAGGGTGACCTCTAAAGAACATTCTGTCTGAGCTCTTGCACTGGCTATTTGAGTGAGAAGTTTTAAGTTGGAGCCAGCAGATGGCATAGTGGTTATGTTGCTGGACTCCCACATGGCCTACTAAGGTTCGAATCCCAGACCTGGTGGCTTGAACCAGGCATGTGTGCATGTGTGCCCAAGATCCTAGGAGGAGAATGGAGCACAAGGGATTATGGTATGGTAATGCCTGGGGGATGATTTCTCACTTTCCCTCTCACCATCTGTGCCCCACTCCCATGAATGCACATACCCTAAGGCAAAAACCTCTAAAAAGAAATAAATTAAAAGTGTCTATCACTTCTTTGAACTATAAAATTCCAGGAGAAAGTTCCATCACTCATTATTAGATCACAATGAATGGAGGTTTATTGGTTTTCTTCCCATAATACAAGCTCTTTTACAGATAATATGTGATATGGGAGATTTTTTTGTTGTTGTTCTTATTTTCTTCCCAGGGCTACCATATGAAGAAATTTTTAATTACTATAACTAATTAAAAGTTAAGGATTTATTTTAACTTCTATTCTTTCTGGCGGAAAAAGTGCAAAGAACAGAGTAGTGCACACTAAGGATAAATTGAAAACGCGATACTTTCAAGTAGGTAGATAGAATTTCTCAGGGATAGATTGGCAAGCTGAAAATGAAATAATATTTGGTGAGGGTGATATCACAAGTGAAAAAAAAGCCATTATATGTGAAAGAATTCCAAATTCTTTAAAGATTTACTCATAGAAACACATTCTTTATGACTATATATTAATTTACAACCTATTTTAGCTATTTCAGTATGTTACACTGAAACTCTCCTCTACAATGATTCATGCTGTTGAAACCCACTGTCTGAAACAAAAGGATGGCTATTTATTATCTTTACTCTTAAACACATACACACACACCATATGAAGAAATTTTTAATTACTATAACTAATTAAAAGTTAAGGATTTATTTTAACTTCTATTCTTTCTGGCGGAAAAAGTGCAAAGAACAGAGTAGTGCACACTAAGGATAAATTGAAAACGCGATACTTTCAAGTAGGTAGATAGAATTTCTCAGGGATAGATTGGCAAGCTGAAAATGAAATAATATTTGGTGAGGGTGATATCACAAGTGAAAAAAAAGCCATTATATGTGAAAGAATTCCAAATTCTTTAAAGATTTACTCATAGAAACACATTCTTTATGACTATATATTAATTTACAACCTATTTTAGCTATTTCAGTATGTTACACTGAAACTCTCCTCTACAATGATTCATGCTGTTGAAACCCACTGTCTGAAACAAAAGGATGGCTATTTATTATCTTTACTCTTAAACACATACACACACACACACACACACACACACACACATACATGTTCTCTACATTAAGATAATCAAATCCATTGCTATTGGAGGTTTTTAGGGTAGTCTTATAAAATCCACAAAGAAAACTCTCCTAGAACTAATGGAATTAGATTACCTTTGAATTCTCACCCCAATCTTGAATAGTCACTAATTCCTTTCTTTGCTCTTTTGGTGTTTGCAAAGGGGTTCACTAAGGCCTGAATTGATATAATTATTGGCTCAGATTGTTTGAGATCTAGGCCAGATGGCTGTGAGTTTCTAAAGTCCCAGTTGCTTGTGGTAGTTTTCCTGGTTTGCCTATAGGGTTTGGGGATCAGCGATTTGAAAGGGCTACAAACTTGTAAAACAGTATTATTCATGGGGGCAGAATGTTCATCAGCGTGACCCAGTACTAAATACATTCATTATGGGCATTTCTATTCTGCACAATTTGCCACACAGCACTGGTTTCAGGAGGGGGAAAAAAAGACAATGGCTCATAAAATGCTTTTGAATGCCTAAAAAGAATGAGAGTTCATGCTGAGACTCTACTGCTTTCTCTTTTGGGGGGAAGGAACCTTCTCAGTGACTTTAGCTGAGCTCTGCTGAGAGTAAGCAAAGTGGAAAAATCGGAAAATTGCTTTTTTTTTTTTTATATGTTTCTGGGGGGCAAAATAATGAGTGGGAGAAAATAAATGGAAAAAAGTGACAGTGAGATTATGTGAAACAGCAAATATGCATGTGGATGAAGACAGCTGAGGAATAGTGCAAAAGGGACAGGGGAAAAAAGGCAGCAAGAATGGAGCCACGACGATAAACTTAAAAGGAATTGCAGAGCAGAAAGAACATCATAAATAATCATATTTTCAAATAAGAATACCATATCAGTTTCTGTGACCTGGATAGAGCATAAGCCTCCCATGATATTTCCTAGCATTTTGATGCACACAAAATGCAATTTTCAGCTCAGGCATTTTATTTGTCAATGTAAACAAGCTTTGGGATTTCTTTTATTTTCTTTTCTTTTTTAAAAATATATATCTGAAAAATGTTTTCATAAATAATGCATACATTATAAAAAATGGACTTGTAAACTATTGAGTCCATGTCCCTTCAAGATTCACTGTGGAGTCTCACCATGGTTAGATAGTACCTTTTGGAAAAAACTGGCATGAAATGTCTTTTACCTATGGTAAATAGGATTTTTTGAAGTACAGGACAAAGAAATAGCCTAGACACTTTTGCCTCAACTCAAGAAAAGGCACAGTATTAGGTAGAACTACATTGTTAATTAGTTCCTTATCCTGAGGTATTCCTTTAAATCTTGCTAATTAAGAGAAATCAAGAGTGCAAGATAGCCCTTTTCTTATCTTCAAAGAATAAAGATGAAAGAAAACAGAAAATGAAACCTCTTCACTTGTTCTGTTCTCTGCTTGTGCTCAGACACGGAGGAAGACCCAAGCATTTACCGAGGGGAGGGTGGTGGGGGGGAGGGGTTTCGGGAGGTGGTCTAAGCAGCATCATTAGAAGCAAGTTTTCAAATTTCATTAAATTCCTCCACCTACAAAACGCACTTAGAGGTATTTTTCAGTTAAACCAGCACTTAAGCACTATGAAAAGCAAGATGATTACATGTTTGTGGCAGAAGACAGGGCAATTAAGAAAACTAGAGCAGTTTGAAAGAGCCATATCAATAAAAGCGACCAGAAGTTGATTTAAAGTTTTTTCCCTCTGTAATTTGTCTCCCCTCCATCGTGGCACGCTCGGGGAAAGTGAATGCAAAAGATGGAGAGGAGGAGGGGAGTCTGGGCGCACACCTCCTCCCCAGCCCTCGCCAGCCCCTCTCCCCGGCCCTGGCCCTCGCGCCCCCAGCCCCAGCCTCCCTCCTCCGCGGTCTCTTCCTCTCTCCCAGCCTCCACTCTCGCCCTCCCTCGCTCTGGTGACTCCATCGGCTTTTGATTTGGAAGCACGCTGATTGGCTGGAAGCGATTCAACACACGCCGGGCAGGAGCTTTGTCTGAGTTGAAGTGAAGTTGTAGAGATTTTGGAGACTGGAGTCAGCGAGCACGGGCGTTCCGTCTGCAGCCGCGCAGGAAGGAGGGCAAGAATCCCCCAGGAAGGATCCACTGCGGACTCCGCCGGCACCCTGCCATACCCGGATTCCCACTCCACCCGGGGGAAATCGGCGAGGTGACACGCTTCTCTGCCTGGCTAGAGGGAGAACCGCCACGCCAATGCAAGGATCGGACTCCATGCCGATACTCTGGAAGCCGTGACACGGTGTGTATAAAACAAAAGTTTGCGAGCTGTTAATTGCTGTGCTGCATGATTAAGAGCCGCTTTCAAGTTTCAAGTACCAAATGTAGCTTAGCTTTGAGTTGCCAAAGGAAGCGGAGGGAATCGCTTTGCTGTTGTAACTTGCTCTGTGAGGGGAATCGCAGAAACCGACCGACGGTACCAAATGAATTCTAAAATGCACTTTAGTTTGGTGTTTGCACTGCTGCTAGTATCGTTCGACCACCGTGTCCTGGGCAAGAATTTGAAATACAGGATTTATGAGGAACAGAGGGTTGGATCGGTAATTGCAAGACTATCAGAGGATGTGGCTGATGTTTTATTGAAGCTACCTAATCCTTCTACCGTTCGCTTCCGAGCCATACAGAGGGGAAATTCTCCTTTACTGGTAGTGAATGAGAATACCGGGGAGATCAGCATAGGGGCTATCATTGACCGTGAACAACTATGCCAGAAAAACTTGAACTGTTCCATAGAGTTTGACGTGATCACTCTACCCACAGAGCATCTGCAGCTCTTCCATATCGAAGTCGAAGTGCTGGATATTAATGACAATTCTCCCCAGTTTTCGAGAGCTATCATACCTATTGAGATATCTGAGAGCGCGGCCGTTGGGACGCGGATCCCCCTGGACAGTGCGTTTGATGCAGACGTTGGGGAAAATTCCCTCCACACGTACTCGCTCTCGGCCAATGATTTTTTTAATATCGAGGTTCGGACCAGAACTGATGGGGCCAAGTGTGCAGAACTCATTGTGGTCAGAGAGTTGGATCGGGAGCTGAAGTCGAGCTATGAGCTTCAGCTCACTGCCTCGGACATGGGGGTGCCTCAGAAGTCTGGCTCCTCCACACTCAAAATTAGCATTTCGGACTCCAATGACAATAGCCCTGCTTTTGAGCAGCAGTCTTATATAATACAACTCTTAGAAAACTCCCCCGTGGGCACTTTGCTCCTCGATCTGAACGCCACTGATCCAGATGAGGGCGCTAATGGGAAAATCGTGTATTCCTTCAGCAGCCATGTGTCTCCCAGAATTATAGAGACTTTTAAAATTGATTCAGAAAAAGGACATTTGACTCTTTTCAAGCAAGTGGATTATGAAATCACCAAATCTTATGAGATTGATGTTCAGGCTCAAGATTTGGGTCCGAACTCAATCCCAGCTCATTGCAAAATTATAATTAATGTTGTGGACGTGAACGACAATAAACCTGAAATTAACATAAACCTCATGTCTCCTGGAAAAGAAGAAATATCTTATATTTTTGAAGGGGATCCTATTGATACATTTGTTGCTTTGGTCAGGGTTCAAGACAAGGATTCTGGGCTGAATGGAGAAATCGCGTGTAAGCTTCATGGGCATGGTCACTTTAAACTCCAGAAGAAGTATGAAAATAATTATTTAATCTTGACTAATGCCACACTGGATAGAGAAAAGAGATCTGAATATAGTTTGACTGTAATCGCGGAAGACAAGGGGACACCCAGTCTGTCTACAGTAAAGCATTTTACTGTTCAAATCAATGATATAAATGACAATCCACCGCACTTCCAGAGAAGCCGATACGAGTTTGTCATCTCAGAGAATAACTCGCCAGGGGCGTATATCACCACTGTGACGGCCACAGATCCCGATCTTGGGGAAAATGGCCAAGTGACCTATACCATTTTGGAGAGTTTTATCCTGGGAAGTTCTATCACCACATATGTAACCGTTGACCCATCTAATGGTGCCATCTATGCCCTCAGAATCTTTGACCACGAGGAAGTGAATCAGATCACCTTTGTGGTTGAAGCGAGAGATGGAGGAAGTCCGAAGCAACTTGTAAGCAACACCACAGTGGTGCTCACCATCATGGATGAAAACGACAACGTCCCTGTGGTTATAGGGCCTGCACTGCGCAATAATACCGCAGAAGTCTCCATCCCCAAAGGGGTGGAAAGCGGCTTTCATGTCACCAGAATCAGGGCGATTGACAGAGACTCTGGTGTGAACGCTGAACTCAGCTGCTCCATAGTAGCGGGAAATGAGGAGAATGTCTTTGTAATCGATCCACGATCATGTGACATCCATACCAATGTGAGCATGGACTCTGTTTCCTCCAGCGAATGGGAGCTCTCCGTCATCATCCAGGACAAAGGCAATCCCCAGCTGTACACCAAAGTCCTTCTGAAGTGCATGATCTTCGAATATGCAGAGTCAGTGACAAGCACAGCCATGACCTCAGTAAGCCAGGCATCCTTAGATGTCTCCATGATTATAATTATTTCCTTAGGAGCAATTTGTGCGGTGTTGTTGGTGATCATGGTGCTATTTGCAACTAGGTGTAACCGAGAAAAGAAAGACACTAGATCCTACAACTGCAGAGTAGCAGAATCAACTTATCAGCACCACCCAAAAAGGCCATCCAGGCAGATTCACAAAGGGGACATCACATTGGTGCCTACCATCAATGGCACTCTGCCCATCAGATCCCATCACAGATCATCTCCATCTTCATCTCCTACCTTAGAAAGAGGGCAGATGGGTAGCCGGCAGAGTCACAACAGTCACCAGTCACTCAACAGTTTGGTGACAATCTCATCGAACCACGTGCCGGAGAATTTCTCATTAGAACTCACCCATGCCACTCCTGCTGTTGAGGTAAGATCATAAACTGCATTGATTCACTGACAATGTCAATTGCTTTTGTTCACATGTGTGTGTGTGTGCATGTGTGTGTGCGTTAGTTCTTAAATGTTTTCATTAATATGTAGCAATACTAACAATATGTAAATTCATTTAACCAGGATACAGGGTACATTGTTTCTATGTAGCAAGTATATAGACCTTAGCCTACTGTTCTCAGTTTTTCTGGAATAATGTTCTTGCATGGAATGTGGATAATACCGAGAAATCAATGTGAAGCCTGCGAGGGACTGCTTACTTAAAGCCCCTTGTCTTCCCAGATTAAGATATGGGGAGGCCAAAAAGTAAAAGGGACTTTAGTCTCTCAGTGATGGTCTCTACTGAAAAACAGAAAACAAAAACAAAAACCCAAGAAGCACCTTAAATCTACAGAAATCCCACCTCAGTGCATGTTTACTTGTCCAGTTTCAGAAAAAATTTCTGCCATTATTTTAACTCCATGGGTTACCATGTTGTATTTCATAGCATTGTCTCTGTATTTTTAGAAGTGGACGTTTAATTTGCACTATAAGGGAACTCAGAGTTGTTGAAAAGGAGTCCTCTTTCAGAAAGAAAAAAAGTCAGTTCTCTTAGCTCATCCAGACCTCCCTGGAATCTATGTCAGTTGTACTAGGTGGCTGGCTACACAGTCAGCCGCAGCTCAATGTAAGCAGATCTTTAGAATGGATTTAACGTACTCAGTTACATAGTACGGAATAACAACAACTGTCTGTCTTTGCTTGCAGCTGGGGAGGATGGGGGTTTGTTTCCAGGAATCAGTTCTGTCTGTTTGGTTTCCAGCAGGTCTCTCAGCTTCTTTCAATGCTTCACCAGGGACAGTATCAACCACGACCAAGTTTTCGAGGAAACAAATACTCCAGGAGCTATAGGTATGACTTACCCTCCTGTTACCTAGTGAGTCTCAGAGGATGTAATGGCTGCAGAGTAAAAACCATATTGTCCCTGATTTATCTTCCTAGATACGCCCTTCAAGACATGGACAAATTTAGCTTGAAAGACAGTGGCCGGGGTGACAGTGAAGCAGGCGACAGTGATTATGATTTGGGGCGAGATTCTCCAATAGACAGGCTGTTGGGTGAAGGATTCGGTGACCTGTTTCTGACAGATGGGAGAATCCCAGCAGGTAAGAGGGTTGTGATCCATGAAGCTTGATTTTTAGGTCTACTCTAACACCAGTCCAAGTGAACCGTTTCTCCGATGTTTATATTTCCTTTTCATTTGTCCTGTCCACCAAAATACTTGTAATCTTGCACAATGAATAGAAACTGAAAGTTTAACGTTACGTTTCAAAAATTTTTATTAAGCAGTTGGTAGAGAAGGAGTTATCCTCAGAGTTTCACAAAAGAAAGAAGGGATGAGGAGAGGAGAATAGGAAACCAAACAGAGCATGTTCCTCCTCTTTCTACCCCATCCAACCCTGCCATAGAATACTCTTGGGCAACTCTGTGAAATTACTGGGTGGCTCTGTTTATTCAGACAGCCTCTTTTGGTGCCTAGTGGTGAACTGGACTATAATTTGGAGGATGCGTTTCCTGTGATGGGAACCAACTCACCAAATAAGAGATTAAAATAAACTAGAAATGGTATACTTTAAGCAGTCAAAATAGGGGAAGGAATGCATCTCTGTAGGTGGCAGCCCTAGTATACTTTTTCCACTTTCCATTTTATGTCTTCAGTGGAAGAGGGACAGGGATCTAACAGGGGGATGTGTAAATACACAGCTAGATGGAGGGGATTCTATTACATTTGTTTTAAGTTTACTTATTAATTTCTTCCATGAGTAAGAAAGAGAAAGAGAAAAAGAGAGTGGAGAGAAAGAGACAGATTCCTAGCAGGACCTTGATACTACTTTTTGCCCTGCCCAAACCTCAGCAGGCTCTTATCTTGAGCATATGTGTGCCCAGTGAACTCAAATCAACGAGCTTTCCAGACCCAGAATCTTACCACAGGGCTCAGCCTCCCAGAACATGGTATTTCACGATTGCTCCAGTGTCCGGCTCCAGTGTTGTTTGAACCACATTCTTTACCAGCCCCTTCCTGAAATTGTGCAGTAGGAACCCCCACCCCCCAACCAACAGAGTAAATACTGAGTCATTGTAGCAACCCTGTTATAAAAGATTGCAAAATGAGATCCACCCTGAGCATGAGTAAATGTTCCTTCAGCTATTTTGTTTCTAAAATGTTACTGAATATCCATTGAATGACTTCAGTCCATTTGATAAAGGAAAGAAATGCAGACAGCACCAAATTCCTCATCTTTGTTTCATCTAACATTTATTTTCTAAACACAGATAAGTAAAAGAGTTTAAGAAATAAACATGAGGGAGCCTTAGGTAGCCACAGGAATCCAAGAAAAATCAAGGAATAGAAGTTCAAGCTCTCATAAGTTATCACAGACATGGTGCCAGTAACCACAATAGCACACGTGGAAGTGGTAGGAGCAGTGCCAAGGGTGTCCTGAAGTTTCCTCTGGGCCCCTGGGGGGGTCTTGAACCTACACTGTCTCTCTCATTTCTCTGACATAGGAATTAGGAATAGCCTAAGTAATATGCCAGTAATGGTATTATTCATAGTTTTTCAGATTTAAAATGAAAGCTTATGAAAGTCAGAAAACGCATCCCACCTCAGGAAGGTTGCATGTTGGAGAGGTGAGATTTGAACCAATTCCTACACTAATCTCTTAAATATAAAAAGTAACAGGTGGGTGTACCTTTTAAATACAATGAGTTACCTCCATGTAACCAGTAAGTGTTGCACTTGATTACATTCTTACAGTAATAGACACCGCATCTCTGGCAGGATGAAGGTTGAGAAAAAGCTTCTCTGGCACCAAAGCTACAATGCACATGAGTCTATGTGTGGTCACCCCGTGTGTATTCATTTTTTTTTTTTTTAATTCATAGACTTCGCATTTGAAGGAAATTCTCCAAATCTAGTGTAACGTCCATGGCCTCAGGTATTTTGTTCAGAGAGAATCAGTCTTATTAGTATTCTTACTTGTGGAACGAAGGGACTGGAGGAATTTCTGATTCTGTGATGTTGACAGAATCCTCATTTTGAACATCGGTCCCTAACTTTTAGTAATGAATTTCCCAAATTACATTATTTCATAAGCAGAAAAGTAACATCATGGGTTACTATCAATTTTGTATTATATATTTTTTAAATTTCTATGAAGTTTATTTATTGAAATGTAAATGCATTAGTATTGTTAAATGGAGAAA